GATAGGGTGTCTATCGCTGCCCCAAGAAAGCCTCGTTGGGATTCTCTTTTTCCAATTGTTTGCTTTCCTGGGTTCTGTGACTTGTGAAAACCCAAATCAACAACAAATGACCGGATTGGCCCAGATGGACCAATCCGCGGAGCACCTCACATACCAGGATCCCTTGGCTAACTAACAGGGAGTCCCATTGACTTGCATAGAGCTCCCTGAACGCTGGTAATAGACGAGTTGGGATGGCGGAGAAATGCTCTCCGCAGCCCCATTCTCACAGCGTTATAAACCTTTTTTTTACTCAATATCAAGCCACACTTATTGTTTTTACTTCGGCTTTGAGTGTTTGTGTGTGCTCAGGATGAGTTTCGCTGTGTCTTACTGTATCGCCGACCCGGAAACCTGTCCGCTCCTTGCAGCAGCGGTGAGCAGCAACGAGCAGCAACGAGCAGCAACAAGCCTCGCAACAAGCCAACCAATCAGAGCACACTGGGCTCACAGGGAGGGGGGGGCAGGAGCTCCAACAAGCCGTTTAGGACAGAGAGTGAATACACATACTATACAGAGATGCTGTATGAGAAACCAATGTGAGTTTGGGAAATTGCACAATTTGATTATATTCTAGTAGACCTCAACAATGGAAATATGATCAGTTGAAATGGCCATGACCTGGGACCTTTAAGGAAGGACAGCTTGTGTGTAATTGTATTTGTTAAAACAGAATGTTTGTTGATAATTAACATGATAATCTCCCCATCAATGAGGACTGCAGAGAGTAAACTTGTCTTCCGCTGTAAACTGAATATCCATTCGTTTCACTACACCTTGGCCATTAAAGAAAGTTGTAGTACTTCAATTGGTTTTACTTATTTGAAGGTAATGTATACTTGCAGGGTTGAGTTTGGATCCTCATGATGTTTTGCACTTAATGCAGGCCCCTTCGGATAAAAGTGTCAATAAATGTAATGTACTGACACTTTGCAATGATTTTAAGAATATGGACCTTTATGAATCTTTACTTCATATAGTAATAAACTAGTCAAGACGCTAATATACACATGGAAACTTTTCCTTGCCAGCTCCTTTCAAACTTTTCCTGTTTTTAACATTAGAATACGATGTATTTTGGATACAGTCATACCTCAAACCAAGTCTGCTGTATAATAATTTGTGCGGAAATGCAAAATAAGCAAGAAATGTATGAGAAAGCCCTCAAGATCTAGCTAATTTCACAGTGAACCTTAATGACCCCATGTAGTCTCTTAGGGGACAGAAACAAGGACAGAGTTTTCCAAGTGTCACAACTTTTAACTTTTGCAATTTGGTGACACCATCTGGCCAATTGGTGCAATTTATGACTTTTTTTAATTTTTGTATTAATGTGGTTATTTGAGTCTTGCTTACAGTCTTTGAGGTGAAGAAACTGACCTGCATGGTGTTCAGTCAACATCTGGTGGTTACAAAGCAGTATTACAGTCGATGTTTCTGTTAAGAGAAGAACAAGCAGCACCAATGGAAGAGGATAAAAGCTCTCAGAAATCATGAAATGCCACAATTAAGCTTTTGAGAATTGTAATTTAAAAAAAAACATGGATGGCAGACACAAGTTAATATAGCATTACTGGGAAGAAATCACAGTTTGATTAATTTGATTCCGATGATTAATCAAGCCGAATCAGAATCCTTCTTTAATCCCTGGGAGATATTTATATAAACATACTAACTTGTTCTATTTTTTAATATTGAGTTGATCTTTTACTGTTGTTATATTAATAGTGTGTGCTTATGTTTATTTTCTGTTTAATTTAATTTGAATTAATGTCCAATGCCTTTTTTACATGCTTCTATATATATTTTTTCATATGTATTTATTTATCTATTCCTATTTAATCCAATGTTATCTAAAACATGAATATATATTCAATTTTAATGAAATATAAAAAAATATAAATAACCAAATTCTAATACAAAACTAAATAACCCAAAATGCCTATAATTTGTTCATTGTTCCCCTGTTGGTAGTTAAGCGTCATTGCAGTGAGCTTGCAGTACCACCGCTGCTCGCCAGCAGGGGGCGCTGCTCTGCAGTAAAAGACCCGGATCAACAGGGTGCCTCATTGAATCTGTTTGAGCCTTTTTCCTCAACTTTTTTTTCACCGCCCAGACTGCTTCTGTTATTTGGGCTGAGAGAAAGGAAGTAGCGACAGGCTAGCTGGTTAGCCGGCGTGAAGCAGTCTGTCAGGAAAGAGAAGAGTATATTTTATAACCTCAGAAACTGCTCTTCTTTGTTTAATACACGCGTTTAAAACGGGGTCGTTTTTTTTGTCTTTCAACCCGGGATTTCAAACCTTCAATCTGAATCCAGCTTTGTCTGTGGGGGGACTCCACTCCGCTGTTAGCCTGCTTAAAACAAGTCATTTTTATCCATTAAAAAAGGAGAACTACACACTTAAAAGAAGCCACCTTTTGGTTATCTTTTTTTATTTTTTCGCCGGTTGGTGGAATACGAACAAGGATTACTCCAGGACAATGAGACAAACAGCCGTTCAAGGTAAAATCCTGTTCAACTGTACGAGCTGTGAATGTTTATATGACACAGTAATGTATTTATCGACTTATTTGTGGTATATTTATGTCGAAATATGTGTGTTTTATGGCCACAAGGCATTGACAGAGCTGTTATAGGAAGTTATTGTGTACTAGCTTTAGTGAATTAACTGCCAACCGTTGAATTCACACTACATTGTAACGTTCCATTTGAACGTTCAATTGTAACGTTCAATTTCAACACAACGTCGAGGCTTGTAGCTAACTCTGTTACTGTTATGTTAATTGTTGATAACAGCATGTTGCCTCTCTGTTAAGTGCTAACTACAGCATAGTTGCAT